AGGGAAACATTTACACTCTACGCTTGGTTACATCATCGGCGGAAGGACTTGGTACGATCTCTAAAAATAACTTGAGAGGAACTTCCCAGGGAATGCCTCGTTATGGGGATTAATTCTGTTACTCTTCATCCTCTCTTGCTTTCTCAATATTATAAGCATTTAAACTAAAACATGTAACAGACAGCTCGTATCTGACAATTCAGGGTCAGTTTTCCCATTCAGTCGCCCTTAGTCTTTCAAGCTGTAAGGAACTTAACGATTTTAAGCGTATAAAACAAATTACGTGTACCCACTACGTTTCATTGTCCAAACTTGATTCCATTTCGTGGCCATGGAAAGGAAGTGTCCTTGAGCTTATTTAGCATCTGATGAAAATTCATGCACCAGTCGCCTTTGTTCACTCCTGAAGAATTATCAACCAGTCAGAAATTCAATATTGAATTAAAAGCTCGTTAACATTTTGTGTTTTGACTTACGGTGGTATTTTGTTCATAAAATGTCACATTGCTGCTAGAGTTCTCTCGAGCTAGATAATTACACTCTCCCTCTGAAAGGACAACAAGAGATAAGGCTATACAAACATATACCATTTTTACCAGGAGTTAGAGATACTTTACACGAAGAACCTGTTGAGCAACTCATGGCCAAGAAGTTGCTTTCAATGCAGTGTTTGGTCTCTCGTGGTCTATCAATTACGAACATATTTATCTTTAAATCAAATCGAATTCTTATATTTACCTGAGTAAATTGTCAGCAATATTCCCTACCACGTACCAGATCATTTGTCAAGGAATCGTCAAACATCACTGGTTTAACAACGCTATATGGCCACGCGCTGTTGTAAACGGATGTCTATTGTTGTCCAACGCAACCTGCTTATCATAAAGCCAGACCACATCGCGTCTAAAATGCAAAAAGTAACATCAAGAATTGGTTCACCCTGCGCATCATCGTTTGTACGCTGAAATCCCTTTGTTCTGAGTAAGCGACAATCAAGCCTTAATCCATGTTAGCTGTCGAGAAAGAATAAAAATGTAGAATTTAACCTGCCATCAGACCTTTTGCGGGTGTTTTGGTGTTAAGAGCACAAAGCATTCTGCTATTGTCCCAAGAAGTGCATTCTTGCGTATTAAAATTCTGGCAATTGGCTGTGTAGGAAATAAAGAGAAGGCATGGAGGCGTAACAGGGAAGGGGGAGGCTTGTATAAGTATCTTCATCCAAAAGGCTTTTTAAAAAGAGGGAGGCTTAGGCACCGTCCACACTGCGCCCAAGAAATTTGAAAACGCGGTTTTATTTCTACGGTTCAGCCGATTGACCACACTAACTAACGGAGCATTTCGAAAATGCTCTTCAAACCGGAGGAATTTGCAAACGCCGGCCTTTCGTTTTCGTGTGCGCGGAAAACAATGAAAAAAACGGAGCTTTTCCAAAACGATTGTATGACGCTTATCATGTGATTTCCCTGACCGAGTTTTCCTCAAGCTCAAATCCAAACTGACCGGTGATTGTCGAATTTTAAATTCCTCGGGGAAGTGGGGACGAAAACATATTTGATAAGTTACGTTTTCAGAGTGAAAACACCGTTTTCCAATTTCTCCTGCAAAGTGTGGACAGCGCCTTACTCTAGAAGGGCATTAGTTCAAAGAGAATTTCCAGTAGCTTACACGCATGTAGCCTACACGCAGAATAGTGTAAAACAAAGTTCATAGTGGACGGCTACACGCAGGCTTTTTTTATTTTAGTGCTAATCAAACAGAGCGGATTGAATGAGGTCGGGCAACCATTACTCTGTTCTATCCAGTAAACCTTAAAATGAGTTTGCATTAAAACAGAAAAAAACAGAATGTCAAAATAATGTCAATCCTTCCTCTCCAAATCATGTCACATCATGCGTTCCTCTTCTTATGGGAAAGGAACG